GAAATACAGACCCACCCACTTGCCCTGGAGAAGCTACAGGGAGGGTCAGGCAGTTCCCTCTGAGAGATGCTGTGGGAGCACCCTTGGTGCTGCTCAGAGCATGGAGTAAACTTGGTCCTCTGGTTCTATGACCCTGTTCCATGGTTCAAGTCTCCCCAACTCTGGAAGAAACAGAGGCGGAAGATGGTCACATTTGTATGTGCCTCTCAATCTCAGACCAAGCCCAGCAGTTGTACAAACAAGTAAGTGAGGTTTAGTGGGTTCATGCCAATGATATCTAGTCCCTCCAAGGCCCACTGGGGGCTCATTTCCTGCCCCGAGCCCTGCACCTGCAAAAAAGGGCCCAGATCTAGACAGAAGACGAGTGCACTTGGGACAATCCGACACCACAGCCTTATTCCTGTGTAGATGTTCATACTAAGCACACGTGTAACCAGAGCTCAGGAGGTGATCAGACCCGTGTCCGATGACCTGGGGGTAGGTCTGAGCTTTCTGGATTTTCCTTTGGAGGCAGGGAATGATCCGCACATTTCTGCCCCTTTTGAAATATCGCTGAATGCGCTTGGCCTGCTCTGTAAAGGTCATTCCACCTGAAGTGCTCGGTAAATGTCTCTGATTCCCTCACGCCCTGCAGCAGAGCACTCACCAACTCCTCTTGGCAGAAGAGAATCACGCCTCAGGAGCTGATGGAGGGGAGATCAGAGGGCAGGGGAAGAGTCTCAGATAAACTCTGTGAGACACAAAGTTTTATTAACGGCAATGTTTCCCTGCCTCGCAAATTTCCAAGGTCTGGCTGAACCCTTTGGGTAGCTGCAGGACCAACCTATCCCTTGAGTGTATTTGATACTCAATAAAAATCCTACACTAGAGGGCTGGCCTGATAGCTCCGTGGACTAACCTGCCCAGGCAGAGCACAGCGGCCAGGGTTCAATCCTCAGCATGCCGTGCTGCTCCCGCCCCCAGGGCACACTGATTGGCGATTGAGACTGGGTGTGGTAGTACGTGCCTGTAATCCCAGTGCTCAGGAGGTTGAAAGCCAGGAGGATCACACGAGTCCAATCTACATAGGGAGACCTTGTATCCCCTGTACGAAATGCAAAGGAAACAACCTTGTACTAATTTAAACAGTTCCAGAATGGCTGACAAATATGAACAAACTGTAGACAAGAAGTGAAAATAAAAAAATAATTGAACATTTTCATTTTAGATGGATAGACTGATGTTTGAAACATAAATTAGGGGCTGGAGAGATGGCTCAGTGGTCTAAAGCACCTGCTTGGAACAAGCTTAGCAAAAGCATCAGGGACCGCGGTTCAATCCCCCGGCACCACATGCCAGCCAGCCCTGCCCCCTGGTGGGCTGAGCT